TGAACAAGAGAAAGAACTAGAATAACAATAAAACTTACATCCGAATTTCTCCCGTATGTGTACCAATAGCAATTAATTTTAATTGAGAATCATAAGCAATTGCTGATGGATGTGATGGAAAACCTCGATCACATATTTTATTGAAGCCAAATAATTCTTTTTGAAGACGCCGACGTGATTCATTTTCTTCGGGTTGTTTTCGACCAAGTTTAAATTTAAACATATTTTTTTTTTGTTTTTTGAAATTAATTCAAACAAAAAACAAATGTTGAATTATCTAGAAATAAAAAACAGAGTATGAATCATATTACCAATAAATTTGATATGATATGAGTTTAGCAGATGTGTATAGAGTACGAAAATAGGTCAGCAGCCGCTGTCCCAATTAATGTCAATGGTAAAAGAAAAAAGAAAAAACGAATAAGTGTTCTTCTTTCTTGTGTCTATCGACCAATATACTGAAACTAATATTGAACCGGTCAAACGGTCATTCTCTATTCTTCCTCTTCCTCTCTTCTTTTCGATGAACTATTCTAGAGACAGAAGGGCATTGTGAATGTCGAGTTGAGAAGAGCAAAATAAAAAAAAAAAAAAAGCAAAGAAGAAGAAGAAAGGATCGACGCGTGCCGTCATGATGTGTTGTCTTACCTGACTAATCAAAAAAATGAGAAAAAAAACATATGTGATTCATGTAAAGTCTTTTAAAATGAGGGGGCGTTCAAAGAATAATGATTATATATCTTTTGTTTTAGATACGTGATGCATCAATTCATCGATTGTTACTATGTTGATGTGTATCTGATTACTCTTATCCTGATGTATAGATGGATGTAGTAGAAAACAAAAGACTAATCGATAAGAAGAGCACATATTTTTGATTGAATGTATTTTCTTCTTTTTTATTTTATGTGTTGAAAGAATGGTCAATCTTCTAATCTTTGATAAAATAAGATTTTTAATGGAAACGAGATAGATGAAAAAAAAATTAAGAAATAAGATACTTGACACGTTCACTTTTACTACTAGAAGGATTAAAATCGATTGAACTCGGAAGAGTTTTATTCTCAAGAGGCAAACTATTTCAACATAATAGACAAAAAAGAAAAGATGAATAGAAAATTAAATTTTTATATTCAATTAGCATTTTATATACTATGAAAAATTTGTTATATGTACATAATATTTTATCGGTTAGACATGATGAGAAAAATGTTCAGATATAGCTTAATATGCTTGAAAAGAATAAAGCAAAACGATATTAGAAAGTAATTATAGTGATTGCAAGAAGAAAAATACATGTCGGTTAGGTATAAATGATTGCTTATATTCTCATGACTATTAAACATGTTATATCTTTTGTTTTCCATAAACTATCTATTTTTAATCATTCCATTAGTCAAAATATTAGCATAACATAATCAGAAGTATTGAAGTGATTATCCAACATTTGTTAAGTACACTAATTGATGATTACATCATTCATAACTCACATCTCAATCATGATTGATTTTACTTGTTGATAATAATATTTTTCTTTGATATATTATTATCTATGATAAGAAAATTATAGACAATATAAAATAAGATTTAAAATATATTTAGAATGATAATAAACAAAAACATAAGTAAAAGTATCAAGTAACAACATATGAATGAAAAGCTTGGTTTATATTATCATTTTATTCTTTGATAGATCATTCTGTGTTTCGACTAGAATAGACAAAAAAGAAAGCAAGTTAATCAATCAATCGAAAATAACAAATAAAATGATGTAACTGACAGTAATGGTGCAAGACTCCAATCAGGTTGAACTTCTTTAGCTTTAAATTCTACGCCATCATTTGTAACAATACAAACTTGATACTAAAAAGTAGAAAAATGTCAAGAAAAAAACTAATAAAAAAAACGAAAACTATCACTAAAAATAACTTACACGAGCAAATGCTCGACAATCACGATAATAAAGTTGTTTAATAATTCGATCCATTAACTGCTCAGCTTGTTCTTGATTAAGTTGATTAGAAGTTTCGAGTATCGTTCTTATCCAACCCTAGAAGAAAAAAAATTAATCATAAAAAAAACAGTTATCGTAAAAATCATTGAATTACTTGAGCTAAATGGTTGCCAATACCAGTGATAATTAAAAATTCTTTATAAGCTGAACCTTTATCATTAACACGTCCAAGAAATCTACAAATAATCAAATTAAGAACTTTTTTTTTCTAATAAATTTTTCATACGTACGGTTCTTTATTTTCCATTCCTGCTACAATAACACTTGTTAATAATGGATTTAATTTAGTTCTTCGATGATACATAAGTCTTGTAGACCAAGCATAAAGAGCTAATGGTGTCATTTCACTTCCATCTTCTTGAACAAAATCTTCTTCTCTTCAAAAGTTTACATATAATGAAAGATGAACAATCTCTAAAATGATTTCACTTACACTTTCGTGTCAATAGCTTCTTTTATATAATCAGCATCAGATAAATCTCCACCAATTGCAAGAACAGTTTTATCATTAACTTGATGAATACGTGGAAGATTACGATATTTAGCTAATGAACCATATGAGCCAAGAGTATCAGCAGCTAAAATAACACCACCATTGAAAGTAAATGCAGCAACAGATGAACCAGTAACAATAGGTGTACTATTAAAATGAATTTGATATGATTATTCATAAGAAAATATTTCATCAAAACTTACACTGTACGTGTTCGAATATTTCGTTCAGCGTCGGTTTCTAGTGAACTAATTGCATGATTTTTATATGAATGATGAATATTAAAATCATCTTTATCATTGATTGTATCCCAACATGGTCGACATGGATTAAATTCACTAAGCATTGTTTTTTTCTTCTGATTCAAATTAAAATCTAAAAATAACAACAACCAAAAAAATCTAGTAGAATTAAAGAAAAATATAAAAAATTATGTTTATTTAAATAAATTAATTTAAAAGAAAAAGATAATTTGTTACGATTTAAAAGATAATCATGAAAATAGACGATCAATAATTACTTAAAAACAGTGAACTAATCATATATGTATATTGCATAAATAATATAAGTAGGAAATTAAAAGCATTCCTTTTTTTTTCATCTTTATGCAATGCAAATGCATTTAATAAACGATTGGTTTAGCTATGTAAATCTTTCAGTAGATGTCATTCAAAATCATTGAATTTCCATTTACATCATTAGCAGAGTCGAGTGTAGAACAACTATGTCTTGACTTTCCTGTGTTGCCGCACAAGACATTATGCAAGACAGAGCAACTGCTGATTTTCATATTTCAGTTTGTTTATAAATAATATTAACATTTTCTTAAATAATAATTCAGTTCAGAGACAATGCAAAGAAGATCTAGTGGAATTGTTAAGCATGAAGATTTGTTCATTAGTGTGATATAATCGGTAATTTTTTTGTGCATAAATGTCTGTTATTACAGAACTGACTGATGTCAAATGAGATTCAAAGTTTTTCTTTTTGGTTTTTATCTCTCAATTTACTAATGGGTCTAAATAGTTTTAGTTTAGATCTGTTGCATCCTTTAGTCTCATATAAATCAATATAGGAAATGTATTGCATATTGACCATTCAATCACAACTGCTATATCCCAACTTTCGCCTACTATTGTTTTTAATGTAAAAAAATGTCTATTACACTTCATTTGATTATCTGTAAAAGAGATAAGATGACTAGACGAGAGTAATACATTCTGTACTATCTTGTGTTCAGTCTTTATTTATCTTACTTCCGGATCGCAACCGGACTGCTCCTATTTTGTACTGAATTTGGTGCAATATATGTTGGTATGTGATATATTTTTCACTCATCACATCAATATTTCCAATTTCAGAAAAACTTACAACTGACCATAATTATAGAGCAAAGAAATTCAAGCAAATTTAGGAAAAGAAGAACAAGAATAAAATCCTATTGAAATCCTTAATTTGCTTAATTTTCAACACACTCTCAACAGTATGAGCGAAAGCGGCCTTAACTAACTGACGCCAGGTCCTCGATGAGCATTCAACAACTCAAGTAAACGTAGCATTTCAACAGAATTTCATTTTACAATATTTTATTCAGACTGTTTCTTTCAAACAAATGATTTAAAAGTCTAGGAGGGTGCAATCCTATTTTTGGAAGCACAGGCACATAGCACGTAGTACAGTCACCACAAAACTCGATGAGACCAACTCGATGTTTGGAGTGATACCGCTCTCCTAATCACTGCCACTTTATTATTTTTGAAGAGGATGTTCGCATTTCCAGTAATTAGATTAGATTGGAAACCAACACATCCATGTTTTATTCAGATTTTCTCTTTCGAAAGGACGACTTAAAATTCTGGGAAGACAAACCCTTATATTTGACAATACAAACATATAATACATGGTACAATAACTAGAAACTTCAGAAGGATCAACTTTACCTTCTAAGGGGCGGTACTTTTTCCTTCTCCAATTGTAGAAAAATTTCAGTTTTTTTCAACCGAATTCGTCTTTTTCATTAAAAAAAAAAAAAGATCGTAAAATCACAAAAGAAAGTTCAGCATTCTCCGCTTTTAAAAATTTATAAAATGTATGTTTTCAACTATCAAAAAATCTTTTGCACTCTCTTCACATCCTACTTTTTTCTCTTCGTCATATCTTTCTCTTTGACGTATCTTTCTTATAATATCTTAGCAACCTGAAAAACTTGCTCATGAAGAAAATAACTCACAAACATCATATCACATATTTTCGTGGTATATTAATAAAAGTTAGAAGAAAAAAATAATAATAATATTTTTACAAATATCAAATCATTGACGCATATCAAATAACTCAGTAGTCCAATAAAACTATAATGGAAGTCAGTGATAGTCGAAAAAAATAAAAAAATCAATGTGAAAGTAATTTACAATAAAAATAAAAATAAAATACAACATGAACATATAAAAATAAAGTCTGTTATATAAAAACTTAAATAATTGAAATTATTTCTTAACCATCATAAGCATTCGAATCTCCACTATGAGAATATTGACTTCGATCTATGATATAAAACAAAACATGATAAAAACGAAAAAAAAAATTTTTTTTTTATATAATACTAACTCGGTTGGTAATGAGTCGCTGGAATAGGCGCATAATCAGACACAGCACTATTTTGAAGTCTTCGATTATTTATCGTCGGTTGTGAATAACTAATAACAAAGAAAAGCATAGATTGATTTGAAAAAAAAAACTTTCCAACATACTTGTTAACACCAGGTCGTCTAGCATAATGATGATCACCTGTACTAACTGTTTTTGCAAATGGATCAAATTGTGTTGGTGAATTATATCCACTAGATGTTTCATAAGAAGCTTTTGCATTATTTCGATTACCTTGAATATTTCTATTATATGATGATAATGTTCGATCAATGGATTCACTGTCTGAATGATCATCTGGAGCTAGAAAGTAATTGGTCTTTCGTATATTTTATTAGATAAATTAATATTTACTAGTAGAATTCGTCTCAGATGAGTTTGTACTATGACTAGTAGAACTTGAACTATGTGAACGGAATGATGGTACTTGTGAACGATATGATCTAGATGGATGTTGATTAGATACGTTTTGTGAAGATGCTGGAAATGAACTCGATACATCAGGCTGAGAATATTCTGAATGAGAAGAACTTGAACCGCTTGAATTAGGACGGGTTGCATGTCGTTGAGAAGAAATTGGAGGGGGTGCATTATTATTATTATTGATCGGCAATTTAGCACCACTTTGGTATAAATCAAATTCACGTGCGTGAGTTTCACGGTTATCTATTAAATAAAAATTGTTGAACAAAACAACATCATTCAAGGCATTCAACTACTTACTTAAATCCATGAAATCAACAAGATTCGATCGTTTTGTTGCTTGTGTTCGATCACTTGGCATAGTTAGACGTCTAGAATTTTGACTTGAAGGAGAATTTGGAAGTAAACGATTGGTAGGAGCTCTTCTTTGTGATTGAGATGCAGGTGTACTCCTTATTTCTCGTATTATTCTAGTTGGTATATAATCTGTCACTTCAAATAGTCTCATTCGACCTTCATATTGATCAAAAATTTCTACATAACGTCGTTCCATACGTGCTCTTAATTCTGTCAGAAATTGTTTTCCATTATGTTCAATTATCGTATGATTAGGTCGAAATGGTGATAATTGATAATTATTGAATTGTTGATGATTATCGAAATTAAGTACAGAACGAGCTATTACATGAGCATCATTATACATTGTTTGATTATACATTTGAAAATGAGGTCGAAAAGAATATGAAGGATTTCGGATAATTAATTGCTTTTCTTGTGGAGACTGTTCTTGTTTTATTTGATTATCAATAATTGGAGATAGATTTCTTGGTTGCAACGACTATTGAAGAAAAAAATTTTCTATTAAAAAAGAAAAGAGAAAAGAGAAAAACAAATCGTTACCTGTATGGGCGTCTGATCTAATTGAGGATGTGATGGTTCATTAGACAAATCAGTAGTTTGTTTTTCCAATTGAGAAAAACGAACAGGATCGGGAATCTATTCATGAGAACTTTACTCTTAAATTTAATATCAAATATAAACATTTACCGAAAGTGTACCAACAAGAGGACGCAATTGTAAACTATCGTGCACGTCGAATTTCGGTAGATCGATAGGTTTTCGTGGTTGTTTTTCAAGCACACGATTGTAATCCCTATTCGAACTGTTATATACGCTTACGTTGTCTATTTATTATATTGGCTTATTGTATCTAATGTTTTCTCTCTGTCCTTGACAAAACACTATAATTCGATGACTCACCTTAATAGCGTCCCCATTCAGTAGGTTGTCTTGTTTGAAAAAAAAAAGTTGAAGAAAGACACTGATCATACGAGCACATTTCTCACGATGTTTCGCTTCGTTGCTTTTTGCCGTTTATATACAACATTTAAATGATAGGGTTGACTTTTAATAACCATAAGAAAAAAAAAACGAAGAATCAAACTATTTACATTAAAAAAGAAAAAGAAAAACTTGACTACAAATCAGTAACAGAAGCACGCATTAATGTTGTTTGATGAGGTTTTATATTAATGAGTTTTGTTGGTTTATGAGAATTTGATGTATTTGAATCTGTATCGGTACTTGATGATGAAAATGAATAACATCGTCCATTAAGACGACGATCTACTGACAATAATGGTATAATACCACAAAAACGTGAATTTCCATTTGTCGATGATGATGATGTTGATGAACTTGATGATGCATTTGATATAACTGATGATGATGGTGTATTTTGAATACGTGGTGGAGGATTTGGTTTAGGCTTTTTATTTATTGATAAAGATTTATCATTGGTTATTAATTGTTGAGAAAATGTTACTTTTGATGTAGGTTTTATAGATGATTGTAAATGAGTCTTAGAATCATTTGTTATTGGTGAAGTTCTTAATGTTTGACGAAGAACATATGATGATGAAGCAGATGAACAATTATTTGAATCAGTTGAACATATACTTGTTCGAGTACTTAAAGAATTTGCTAAACTTCTATTATCGAAATATCCATTAATCTAAAGAAAAGAAACAAGAAAAAATTTATATTGAAGAAAAACACAACATATATAAATAATTTTTACTTGATCACAAGTGGATTTCATTTGTTTAAGATTTTCTAATTGATTTTCATAATGTAAACGACGTTCTCGTAATTTTTCTGCTTTCTAAAGAAAAAAGAATGAAGAAAAATAATACTTTGATAAATAAGCAACAACAAAAAAAAAAATTCACAAACTTCAATAGCTTTAATTCTTCCTTCAGAATTTAATGTAACCGATTGAATTTCTTCTAATAAACGTTTTCGATCAACTAATTTTTCATTTATATTCAATGAAAATTTTCTTGATGATTTATGTTCTTGACTACTTGCTAATCTAAAATAAAAAGTTTTCATTTCTATTTAATACATTAATAAAAATTTACTGTTTCAATTGATAAAGCATTGTTGTTAAACGTTTACATTTTTTTATTGTATAATCAAGACGTTCTGGTTCGTCATGTAAAAATCTAATTAAAGAAAATTATTTCTGATGAAGTCATTTCATCTTGTTATAAATCACTTTTCAAATAAGTCATAAATTATTGCATAACCCCTATCAAGACTAGAAACAACATAAAAAAATTTTTGTTCCTTGTTTTGAGCTTTTCAATAAAATGCAATAACCCTTCACTTGAATTCTACATCGCATTCCGAAATCCATCGGAGTTAGATCAGTAAAACAGTCAAGTGTTTTTGCTCTTACATAGTAATAAGTTTATTTTTCCTATGTTAAATAATGAATAAGAATACCCAAATTCGTAGATTCATAAATTTCATGAAAAAAAAGTTTGTCAATGTAGGTCTTTTAAAACTAAAATGTAGAACTCACATGTTTATTTTAGTCTCATTATATTAACATAAAATATATTAAGTGAAACATGTCGAACAAACTAAAGTTGTTGTCCAAGGATAAACAATTCACAGGAAAACGATCTGTCTTATTTATTTGTTTATTTCAACAAGGAATTTTTTCTTCTTCTACTAGCATCTGTTTGCCTTATTGTTATTCGCTCGTTGTTTTTGCATTTGTCTGGCGAAGGCTCCGAAATATTCTAGAAAAGTCTAACTCTTGTTGGTAATGCTATTCAGCGCCTTTTCCACTGCTAAATAACTCTTGAAAATGACTCTAGTACCTGTTGTCTTTAGTTGCTATGAAACGTACCCAATAATCGTTGATCTTTTCCCTGACTCCGATGGTACGAGAAGGAGAGAGTAGAGCCACACAATCTTATTTTAAAACTTACATTCATTATTTTTTATTCTTCAAAAAATGTGATGTGAGTTTAACAAAAAAACATTAGAGAGACATTCGCATGAACAAGTAGACAAAAAGATGTTTGGAGTTTTCCTCTTTCAATTGTTGAAAACTGCAGATAACTAGCTTTGTTTCTGGAAAGTTTGAACTCGAAAGTCGGTTTTGAAGGTAATCAAAGCATTTTGTTAGACAGATGTGTAGATATGAACTCTTTTCGAGATTATCTAATCTCATCTGAGTCTATCTAATGATGGAAGACTTCATTCAAAAGCGATTTATCATTTTACAATGTTTTTTCATAGTGATATGTATAGCCTTTTTTTACTTACTTTGTTATTAATTGTTGATTAAACGAAGAAAGTTTTTCACGTAATAGAGGAAAAGTAGCTTTTGAAAAACAAAACAAAAATGTATTTAAAATGTAATTGAAATAATTTTATCTTTTTTATTACTTTTTAAATCAACTAATGCACGACTTATTGTACTAAGTACTAATGCAAAACTTTCGACATCATTTATTGTTGCATAACATTGTTTAAATTTGACATCATTTTGAAATTGTTCAACGGTTAATTCTAAATCTCTATCAATGAAAAAATAATCAATCTTTTTATGAGACAAAAAAGAAAAACAAATATATTTCAATAATACTCAAGATCTCGATCAATTTTAGTACGATTATTAACATAGGAATCAAATTCATTTTCAATTTGATGAATTTTTTCATTTCGATTTAATCGTACGAATTGTTCCTTTATAGAAAAAAAAAATGAAAATTAATGTTTCTTTTTTTCTTTATAAATAGTTTAATGAATAATTTACTTGAATTTTTTTGCTTGCTTGTTCAAGTTCGTTTTTAAAATTTTCTTGTATTGATTGTTGCATACGTCGTATTGAAAATAAATCATTACGTAATGTATGAGTCTTAAGTTTTAATTCATGTAATTGTTGATGTAAAGATTTATTATAAAAGTCTAATAAAGTTTTTGGTTTTGTTGAGCTTGTTAATTCTTTAACTAGTTCAGTTAATGATTCAAGTTGTTTTTCCATTAATGCAATTTTAGTACTACAATTAAAAATTTAATTTGAATCGAGTCAAAGTATTATACGAAATAAGAAACTACTTTTGTCTTAGGATCTGTTGCTAAATTATTAGAGATGATGGAATCGGTTCGTTACTCTCAGTTTCAGTTATAAGTAGTATTTACAATTTTGACACAAACCTTAAAAGGGTTTGTGCGCTTGCATCTTTCTTCTCGAGTAATGATCATTTGACTGAATCTACAGCAGGATGTAGAATATAACGAAAACAATGGTATCAACAGCTTTCGTTTGAAATTTTATCTAACAGCAGATCTCATGGCACTTATCATATTTTCAAAGTTTCAGCTGAAATCGAAGGGTTTTTCTTAAGCTCCGCTTTTCATGGATTTTGAAAAACGGCTCATCAAAATTATTTGAAACTTACAGGGTAGATAGGTCTCAACGAGTAGCGCAAAAGTTTCTTAGCTACAATGTGTCTGATAGAGCTGGAATGCTAGCTTACAAATACTAGACACTTTTTAGGGTTCTTTCTTTTGGTTTCTTTTATAAAAAGCAGGTAACTTAACAAGTGTTCAGTGCCTATAAAAAATTTTTCAGCGTCATCGAACCTATCATGTGAGCGAAATAGAGGCAATTCTGCACCTTTTTTGTGTAAAAATTGATCTAGAGAAAAACGAAAAAAAAGCAAGTTTTCCTGTGTATATATCAGGACTTTTTTTTCTAGATCAAGTAGCTGGACATGTTCAGGAGTGTTAAAGGTTTCTGATTGATTCTCTCAGCGCCGTTGGAATGAGAAATAATCATTATTATTAGGAGAATTTTGCATACAAATAATACTTGCAACATGAATTTTTCTGTCAAGAATTTCGAGAGTTGGGTTTAATAACAGTGATAACTAGAAATGAAGAAGGCATTTGACTGTGAATACTTCAAAGCTTTACCAAAAATCGAAAAAACTTTGATTTTAGCATCTGGAAACGAAGAGCAGAGTTCCTCAAGATATAAGTTAGCATGAACAATAAATGAAACTTCCATGATGTGATAAGTCCCAAGAGATGTATTAGTCGTGCAAAAGTTTAAATGAAAACTCCTTTTTATGATTTTTTTTCGTTATATTTTACAATAGACTGAAAGTTTAGAAAAATAGATACAACTCGAGAAGAAAAGCCTACGGGTATAAACCCTTTTTTTTCAATTGTTTATCAAAAGTGTTAGTGCTACTTATAAGCTCAAACAGAGTATTTGTTGGAGAGACTACCTTGTCAATTCAATCCTTTCATGATAGGATTCTTTTTTTTCGAAGCAAACTAATGAAATACGAGAAAAATTTCATAACGAAAGGTTCCTCGGCATTTCAAGTAAAACTTTATTCAATTAAGAAAAAATAATAATAATTTTTCATTACCGAGCAGCTTCCTCATCATTTCGAGGTGTTGTTGGAGTACTTCTTGGTGATGATAGTATACCTTTTAGTACTATAATATAAAAGCTATTAGATAGATATTAACAAGTTTATTTATACTTACTAGATGCTGGTTGAGTGTGACCAATAGATCCATTTGTTGAATCATTAAGAGAACACAATGAATTATCATTCGATTTATTTTCCATAGAACCATTAATAGATGACGTAAGACCAAAACGATTTAAACGCTGATAATTCATTTCATTTTTAATAATTGGACCTGACAATTCATCAATTTCAGGTTCTTTAAAAGAAACATGTGGTTTATTATTAATATTATTATTTAATTGAACAATTTTTAGTATAGAACGATCTTTAACATCACTGTATTAAAACGAAAAAAAAATTATTTTTTCTTTTCAAGCGTATTTTTATATTACCTCATATCTTCTAATTGATAAAAAATATCTTTGTCTGATTCACGTATATAAATACGAATATCATCACTATCCATTTGTTTCATTGTCAAATGTTGTGGAAATGCTCTTTAATTAAAAATAGTAAAACAAAATTCTCTACTAAGAAAACCAAACAAATATTCTACCGAACAAATAATGCTTTAAGTGTATCCAAACATGAAATATAAGCTGGTAAAAGAATTTTTTTTGTTTCATTACCACAAATTAAAAAACAAAGACCTACGAACCAATACGAAAAAAAAATTCTTTTTGCTTCTTAATTTAATTTAAAAAGAACTAATTACCAAGTGAATTTGATTTTGATTTATTTACGGCAGGTTTAACTATAAATGGAAGACTTGAACGAATACGATGATTACGATTGAAACCTAATTATATCAAATTTATATAAATATAATGAAAAATTAAGAAATCTATATCTACCATTGATATATCCTGCTGACGATTCATCCTCAGTTGGATCAGTTGATGATGAACGTTGATGTAACAAATTATTTCTTGACTATATAAAAATAATAAATATTCTATTAAGAATAATCAATAATCTTTCTTTACCATCATTGGTGTCGAAGCTGTTGCGGATGAAAATTTTTTTTTCAGTATATCACTAAGCATATGTTGCTGTCCAGTATCATTCTACAAAAAAAAGAGAAGAAATTTCTCCTTGTTCTAATTCATTCACTCATAAAATTGAATTGATTCAGATTCATATCCACTCATTTGCCTCTGGACAATTATAAGATCTTTGAATTACATTTTGCAATACTCTGCCTATCTATTCTTATTTATTCATACCACTCATATGTCTGTTCAAGCATCATCTCGTGAATTGTATATATGGACTATATATTATGCAACAGGAATGTAATAAACATACTAGAATTAATCATTGGATAAAGATGATTTCTTAATAGTTCTTTCTTTCTCTGCTAGTCTCTGATATGTTTCATATATCTTAAAGAGAAATCAAAATGATTTCATTCGGCTGACTGCTATAGATTAAATATGATGATAGAAAAACCTTCAACAAATCGTGTGGAACTAACAGTGTCATTTTGTCGCTTTAGGTTAGCATTTACAACAAAATGATGACCATCAATTGATTTTGATTGATAGAATTTCTCGAGGGAACTTTTACTTCTCTCGATTCTTTTACCTTGATAATGCTATCATATGAAAAGTATTTAGAACAATAATTTTTGACGTTAACTTAAGATTGTTACTATTACTTGCCGATTACAACTCATTTATAATATGAATTTGTCGGCTTTACATCTCTATACTATTCGTTCTTATGTATTCTTTTTCTCTTTCTTTTCTCTTCGTCTTACATTGACGTTAGTTGGTACGGACAAGTTGTCGAAGTAAATCTCGCTCAGACACAACAATCATCTCTTCAAAAAAAACTGATAATATTGTAAAAAAAAAAGAAAAAGGGAATGTACAACAAAGAACGGATATATAAATAACACATTCATGTTATGAATGAATCTCAAATGAATTTTTGACTTCAAAAAAAAATAAACATCAATATCTGTAGTCTTTCCTTTTGATGAGCAGTTACAATGGTATTGCATATGTGTATACAGTTGTTCGACCGTGGCCTATACTAACTCCACAAACAGCAGAGGTCGGAAAGATGAAGAATTATAGTAAAAGAGAAGAAAGAATAGAGTATGTACAGGAAGCTGCATATAATGACAATGATCAAAAGAATCAAAGCAATACAGGACGTAATACAATGCAATGAATGGACAATATGTGCACGCATAAGGCAAGACAGTGTCCCCTCGAGTGTCTTTCATTATAATGACAAACTTCTTGAAGCAAAGGCAAACATGAAACATATTATCCAAGGAATTAAGTGAAGAAAGAGAAAGACAATAGACATTCATTGTAAAGAATCATATAATTAGTTAAGAATTTTTTTTTCTTTAATTCGAATTATTCATTTAAGAAAAAAAATCTATTTCAATTTCTAATCTTAAATTTTAATTAAGAATATTTCAAGAATTTATTTACCTTAGAATATTTTTCATTATTATTATCATCTATTTCAAGACATTCATCTTCTTTAACTGATTGTAATGGCACGAAATTTCCATTTGCAATCATATTTAAACATTTATTATGATTATTTAAAATTGATGTTTCAATGTCATGAGTTGATTTTGATTTCATATGATTTATTTCATTTTTTATTGGTGTTATTAATTCACATGATGATGTTGCATCAGCTGATCGACTCATAATTGTTGTTGAATCATGACGAAATGAATTTGATGGTGTTGTTGATTGTGATGAAAATGATGAAGTTGTTGTACTACCAATACTGCGTATTGAATCAGTACGAACAGGTACAGGTGGTCGCCGTGGTTGACGTATTGTCGTATAATGATTTGTTTCATTTTTAAGTGTTGTTGATTTGATTTTTGGTGGTGTTTCAGCATATATATTATTTCTTTCCATATCAGAAAAATCAGGTGTGATCGTTTTTGATGAAATAATTGATTTCATATTTTGACACGATTTTGTTGTTTGATAATGATCAATGTCATTGGATTTATTTTTTCGAGATATTGCATTTGTTGAAGAATCAGTAACTAAGATAAGAACATAGCTAATAATATGCTATACTGCTGGTAAAAGAAAATAACATATATTGCCATTTACTTCTTAATCAAGGTGATATATGCCTGTTGTTTAAAGAATTGGATGAGCTATTTTCTTTGATTCGATAAAAAACCTCAAAGTTCAGGTATACGACTATTTCAACATATATATGTATATATATATGACTATATTTGTTCAACTAAAATATTCAAAGTTTTCAAAGAATGAAAGAAAAAAAAAACTAAAATTAACACTGTACAAGTTGGTTCTAACCTTCTCATATTGTATATATTATTCTTAACTAGAAAAGGTCATTACTTATTGTATAGCTTCTAATATAAATTTATCCTGATCTATTTAAACAACAAGGTAAAGTCTTATTCAAGGTTAGAACAAATATTAAAATGAATTTTCTTTCAAAAAATTTAATGAATTTAATATCATTCGTTTGTTCAATTAAATAAAGATTTCTAAATATAAAAAAAACAATTGAATTGTATACTACCTGCTGTTATACATGAAGTCATTGATATATGAGTAGTAACAAATAAAACGAACGAAACTAGGGATTGACTCGAGAATAAAATGATGAGGTAAAACTTTATTTGCTAACCGCCGGAGTGAAGTCAGCATGTATAAACTACTACCGAAAGGTGATACCTGCGCGTGCATTGAATGAACTCTTCAATGATATTACATCATCGAACCAAAAAAAACAGAATCAATGAACTCGAAAAGTTAATGAGCAAACACTTACTTTCATATGTTTGTTTAGCCATCCAATGCCAAATATAATCAGAGATTTTTCTCATCGAATCAAGACTGTTACTATACATTATTATTCTTGGTTTTTTTCTTTGATATCGAATTCATCGGAATATTCTGAGTTTGTATGTTTAAACTTCTATTCTGTCTGTTTTTTTTGTTCTTTTATATTTAAATAAAAGAATAATGTCACAATAGCAATGAGGAAGAAATACAAAAAGGAATAAGAGACAAAAAAAGTGATAAACTTCATTCCTACATTGAATCAATGAATGTACCCAAGAACATCGGACTTACAAGAACCGGAACTATGAACATTCATGTTCCATACTAATTTAATATTTGTTCAATCAGATTAAAGACACAATACAAATATTTAGTTACTAATCATTTGTCCTTGATAATCAAAATGTCATTTGTCTTGTCACCAAAAAAGAAAAAAAAGACCTTGTTAACTGAACATAACTATTCAACGACATGTGTTTATCCGAGAGTCATGTTCAATCTTTGCTAATAAAAAAATATCAAGAAAGTGTTTGCGAGCTAATTAATCAATAGATTGATCAATCGAGTTTTTTATTAGTTACAGCTATATCAACATTGATCGTTATCTCATGTGTGTTCAATCAAATGTTTGATCTCAATCTCAAGGTGATGCATATGAAATTGAAAGCAATGACACAATAGACCAGTTTTTATATTCTAACAATATGACACAGATGTTGATTGTGCTTACATCGAAGGAACAAAAAAAGAAATGACACTTAGAATTCACATTATTGAAACGATTGATACATTCTTCTACTGTAAATATAATATCCGATGATAATGATAATGACATTTGAAAGAAAAACAAAAGTTCACAGCAATAGTAGAGTCAATTGAACATTTTTTCAATAGATTAGACAATAGAAGAAAGTTTCAAATAAAAAATAAACCACTTTTCTACCTGTTAGTTTATATGTCATTCGTCGATGTGTAAAAAGATTTTCCAAAGATCGTGTTAGAGAAAACCGATCGCCCAATGTTGAACACATAATTGATGTTGAAGAAAAATGAAAATTCAAAACCCTCTTTAACTGTACTATACGCTATTTCTTATCTATCCTTTTTCTATCTCAGTTTGCTTATACATATATATATATACACCTAGCGGTTCAACTCTCTCTTTCTTCCTATTCTTTTTTTTTGCTCATTACATTTTGTCACACCTGCTTCTTTTTTTTCTTTTTTGATTATAATCAATTAAAATGTTCGATGTCATAATCACTCTAAAATAAACTAGTTATACAATTTACTCAGCTTCTTCTTAACTTAATTGAAAATTTTCTAAATATGTTGAGACCTTCATTCATTTGCACCATGTTGATAACAAATAATCTCATCTTACTCTAATCTACATATTATCTGAAAAAAGAGGAGAAGAATAATTCCATGAACGATAAGAATTTTTGTGATCTTTCTTTTTTTTTTTTTTACTTAAACGAAGTTTCATTTATTGCTAACATATTTAAATGAATAATATGTTCAAGTAAGTGAAATAAACAGAAATTAAAACCTATTTGTCATTCTCTTTAATAATAGAAGAAGAAGAAAAAAAGGTGGTTTACAGCTGGTTTAGAATTAACAATTACTCATTAGATTTTAATGAAGTCAAACTATTAATATATCATGTTAAATTTTTCATTTATTTTATATATATTTGAGTGAAGAAAAGAACAGACAGACGGATGTGGACGTCTCATTAACTATATAAAAATGGTTTTCTGTTATGTAAATGCATTTTACTGAACTTCCGCCTGTTGACAAATCAATCAAGCATATGACATAAAAGTTATTTATGTCGGAAATAATTCAAAAATATCATGCTTCATTTTTTCCTACTAGAAAAATCGAACGCAAAATAAATGAAAATTAATTTAATAATAATAAATATATTCAATTTATATATTATATCAATGTTTAGTATGTTTTTCAATTATTTTGTTTACCTTGTGTCATCCAATACTGACGAGAACGATCATGAAATGACTTTCCTAATATCCAAATATTTTCGTTGGTTGAAATAATCTTGATCATTTGATCAATTTTCATAGCTTAGAATATAATCTATATATTTAATAGATTTAACAACTAATAATCTATATTCAAAATGAGTTACATTCAGATAATGCACAATTTTAAAATAGAAATGACAACAATAGATGTTAAATGACTATAAATAGGATATATATGGTCATAAAAAAAAATGCTGTCAAACCAATGATCTTTTATTTTTTGACTAACTAACACTTTCTCACCCAACGTGAAAAAAAGAATATGAGTAGATGAATTACAGTAATCGGATTCTGCTTCCTTTCTTCTTCTTTCTCTTGTATATCTTCAAGTGAGAACGGTAGATATTTCATTGAATCAAGTATGCTGAAGAAATATGAGGAAATTATATTTCTATGAAGGTCATCAACTATTAGAAAAAAAAACAAACTAGAAAGAAGGCGAAGAGAAGAAAAATATTTTGTCAATGTAAACACTGGCATCGCTTATGAACATGTGTCCGAACTAATTTGAACATACATCTATGATCAATTGAATGATCAACGAGAAAGTAATGATATACAATAAAGAGAATGTAAACATCTGCTCGAGTCAATTACATCTATCGAAGACTTACTTACATTCTTTCGACTAGTCATTTTATCATACTATAAATATATATGAACCTTCTCCGAGAAATAGAAAGCAAATTTATTTTTTGCATAAATAAAACAGATCGAAAGTAGCAAATCGTTTTGTTTGAATAAGGCTTGTCACTAAACTGAACTAAGAAATGAAAATAATTAACACGAAAAAGAAACGCTATTAAGTATCTGTTAGAAGTGTTTAAAAACTCCTTGACATCTAATAGTGTATGAATGTGTACTTGTGAGTGCACGTACATTGGGTACAGTGACAAACATATATACATTCAATCGTTAAATAAGAATAAAAAATTGATCATACTAATAACAAACATCAGTCAAGAACTGTTGAAATCGAGAACAATATTTAAGGTCAAATATTGATTAATATGATATGCCATGGTAATTTCATTAGAAAGAACGTTGTAATGTGTGAGTATAATATATTGAATTAATGTTTCGTAATTTCGAATTGAGATATTTTTGTCAGCACTTATTTATTCAGTGAGCCAATAATTATGTATAATATAGACGATATAAATATCTAAGCATGCTCAACCTTTTCTATCTTTATTCTATATTGTTTAAAAATTCAATTAACTTTATTTACTAACATTCATTTCACTGAAAGAACAAAAATACTATGTAAGAGTTAATATGCAATCGAATGTTTGTCTTATTTCTCATGTTTGGTGAATTTTATTGTGTAATAATTCACACATTGTTTATCAATAGAGATTCAATATTTATTTAATAGTAGTCATTTGAAACTCAAACGTATGCAAAACTTTTTCTAGCAAATATTTCTTTCGTAAACAATAGAAATACTTACGAATATAGGATGTTTCAAGATATCTTTGCATTTTTGAATCAGATAAACCCATCGTTTAAGCAGGTATTGATTGATTTATAGAATTGAATTAAAAGAAAAATAATAACAGTTATGTCGATTGTCTTTCAATGATAGTGATGATGTTTTGTCTGTGCGTGTGTATGCTAGTCTAAAATATAAAAGTGTGATGATGACCGCCGACTCGTTTTCATACAATAAATTGTAAACAAAAGCCACACTCAATAATTACGTGCCTGATCCTCCGATTACAAGAACAACATATGTATACACATATGTATGAACCAACTGTGTAATAATAAAGAAAGCTCTAATCGACTAGTTCTGTATATGATAGGCGTAAGATGAAAGTGAGATAAAAAAAAAAAGAAAAAGAAGGCGACTAGTGACGATGTCATCTGAGAAATGCATATAAAATTTGTTTTTTTTTGTCGATGTCGTACCACTCTAGCACGCTTCGTAAGATGAGAACAGTTAGAAGAGATAAAAAAGAGAGAATGAGAGATTGAAGATGAACATTTTGCTAACTTCTAGAAAAGAAAACTAAACATCATGAGACAGATGTGTATCATTGATCATATTGAGAAAATGTAAACGAATGAACAAAAGAA